TTTTTCGTGTTACTAATAAAACATAATAAATTTAGAGAGAAAGTACGATAGGGAATAGAAGGAAAGCAAATGCTATAATGTGTTCTACCCCTATTGCTCAATCCATACAGTTTATAACCTTGGGCTTCAGACGCGCTCACCCATCGCTGTACTAACCAAAGCCCGTATACTCGTCAGAAGACACACGCAGTGGGAAAAGCAAAGCTGCATATTTGAAGATAAAGTAAAATTTTTTTGATATGACCATTTGTGGTGGTATCTCGATCGTGATGTATTACCTGCAGAATCCTTAATAAATAAGATTTATGCCATTTCGTTTGGCCGTTTGAGAGATTATTTACCCGACTATTGGATTAATAAATTAATCACGTTTTTAGGTCTCGCTATCAACAACTTCCGACTCACTGTTATTCATTGGCAGTTGCTTTAAAAGCGAAGATGCAAGACTTAAACGTAGAGCAAATAAATGGGTATAGCTAAATGGGCAAATGAAAGAAAATTTACAGCATTAAAGACATAAACGTTAAACAGAATTTTTATCAAACTGTCTTGCTAACATTTACAGTTCGAACACACACTATACGTCTTAACTATCTCGCTCAAGCTTATTCATAAAGTTTCAGTTTCATGCCGCATATATACGACACTCAATTAACTTATGTATTGCCGCTCTTTTGTTGAAACGTCGCGAATGCATAAATCTCCACCATCAAGTTTATGTCAAAAAGTATGATGCTATTCCTGTTGAGATAAGCTAGGAGCAAATCACTACAATCTTCGTCATTCCCGTGGTTTTTCGCGTTTAGTGTGGCGATTGCTCCCAGCGTTTGTCCCTAACTTAGCTTAACTTATTCCTTCATCGTTAACATCTGAGTCTGAGAATAGATAGTCGTAATTGTACAATCTGTAAATGTACGCAGCACAAATGTGAGTAGTTAAGGACATGTCGAAGATGAGCCACAAAACTCTTATCATGAGCCTGAAGCATTTCAAACGGTTTCATTTATAGGACCGTGGTTTGAGATTAATTCGATATACTTGTCTTCTTTTTTCTCATTTCATTATTGGGATTTGATAATAAACTATGGAAGAACACTTTGAAGCACAGATCGTTGCTGTTGATGTTTGTTTTGAGTTGCGTTTTAGTGTCCTTTTTGTTATTTCTTTCAACGTTCTTAAATCTTATTTTATTCACTGCAAAGGTAAACGGTTTAATTGTTGTTGATAATACACTGACATTTAAAGAAACAACATAAAAACAGAACGAGTTAAAAAAGTGTGATGTTATTTGAACAATTTAACGTTTGATTTATAAGAAACTTCATATTTTTAAAGGAAAGCAAACAACACCTTTCTTCTTATGCATGGTTACTGTTGTACGGCCGTTAAACGATAGACGCTGTGACACTTCATTAAGATAAAAAGCATGACAAATAGTCGGAATGAAAGTGATGGTAAGTGGAAGTCTAATTATTGACGCAACTAGAGTTTTTTGACTTTTGAAACGTTCTCTATAAAGTCAAAAATATCGGGAGGCTTTGGTATCTCGAGCCGATCATTCAAAACAAATTTTGTGTTCAGCTAAGGTCAAAAACCTTTCCCCCGTCGTAGTTGCGTCATTGTAAAAGATGTTCCGGATGGTCATTCATCTCAATTGTTTCTAGCGTTCTATAAAACGACCCCTGAGATTTATCATATTTCAAAACAAGAAAACCAACCGATTGAGGATGATTTTAGAGAGAAACCCACACCAGAACTCTATTACATATCAAAACCTGAGAAAATACCAACAGATGACGATGATGAAGAAAAGTTCGCAAATCATAGGAGCACGCCTCCTAGAAATGATGACATGAATAAAATGCAACCAGTTATGTATTATATATCGGGAAATAAGCATAGTAACTCAGTAACAGCATCACCAATGCATGATCGTCTTAATACACCAATTAATAACAATAAAAACTTGAAAAATCCCGTCCTTTATTATATTCGACGACAAGACAATCTTTCAGAAGACTCATCGCCACGACATTATATAAAACAAGATTCAAATATAAATGATGAAGAACAAGTTGATCGACTACCAGTAGCACAATCTTCTTCTCGAATACCAATGACCTATTCACCACCACCACCGGTAAGTACAACTGTTTGTCTAATGCAACTCCGAGATGCTGAGATACATATTTTTCCTTTCATGGCAGAAGAAACAAGCTGTTGCATTTGAAATTTATGACGATAATGATACGGGAAAAAAACAACCACAACCACTCTGGAAAAAAAAATCAGATCACGTATCAGTAGAAAATGTCATCATAAATCCATCGTCGAAAGCAGCGAATAGTATCCAACGAAGTATGGATCGATATAGATTCGGATAGTTTATATTTTATTAGAGAGCTGTATACAATCAATTACCTCATTATTATTCTTTTAACTATATTGCTTTTTTGGACAGGTGACAAGTTGAGATAACATTAATCAGCTTTTATTGCATATGAGAGACCACAGTGTTTGCTCCTTTACGTAACCGGAAATTTGCGTCGATTATTATGTATATGACGTATCTCTTTTCAACTAATCTTTTAACCGTACATGTCATGTACTATAACTTATATGACAGTGTGTTTATTTAATGGCAAAATCGAGGAATTGTATTGATGAGTATAGCAGCAGCTATTTTAGTTGCATCATGTATTATACTTGTTGCATAGTTTTCATCACTCTCAGTTTATGACAAGCAATAGCATAAACCAAATGAATATAATGGTGTCAAAATGGTTCACAACGAGTTAATTAGTTCAGATCTTCGGTACATAATCAAGGTTCTGACTTAATGAGAACAATTGAAAAAATCAGAGACACACAATACTCAAATACATTAAACACAATCGAGGATCATATCTTCTCAACTCAAACTCAACAATATGGTGTCATTTTTCCAAAAATATTAATCAATAAAATATTATTAAGAGTAGTCATTTTATCCACATGCAGATTGTATCATTCTCTTCTTTCAGCCCTTCTTAATCGTTTATATTTCTGGCTTATACTTTACTATAGTTTATATATATTTTGTCTCTCTCTCGGTAGATGTATACAGACCAATGCTTTTTTTAGAGAAACAAGTTATTGATGAGAAGCTAATGATCTCATTAGTTATTTGTTTGCTGTTTACCGATCTTTTAAATTATGATTTATATATATATTCACAGTATATTCCAAAATTATGGAGTTCTACTAGAATGAGTGAGTGATACTGCTTGACGAAAAAATAGCTACTGTACTCATCACTACAAATTTGTAACGTTTATTAAACAAAAAATAGTAAAAATAATGATTAAAACGTATTTTTAAAGCATATCTTGTAGTAGAAAATCAGTTTGTTGTTGGAGCTGTTGGCGAAAGCTGCGGATCTATGGAGGCAGAAGGAGCCACGGTAGGTGGCGACGATTTTTCAGTAGTTTGATTACGTTGATTGACTGCATGAGTAGCATCGTAGCAACGACTCAGCTCGAATAGATTCAAAACAGACACCTAAAAGTAGAATGAATAAGCGTAAATAGAAAATCCAACAAGATCTACATATCACCGGTAAAAAAAAATCAAAGTTTGTTTAGAGTTAAAGAAAAGTGCTTTTTCGTATTCAGCACACTTGATTACACGAAAAATTTTCTATTTTTAGCGAGGGGTACTGCCAAAAAGTTGAGAAAAATTTTCAAACAAATTGATGCAGAAAAATCCCCATGGTAAAATTATACAATTATGAAAATTTTTTCTTAACTTTTTGTCGGTACCCCTGGCTCAAAAATAGAAAATTTTCCAGGTTATCAAGTGTGCTGAATACGAAAGAGCACTTTTCTTTAACTCTAAATGAACTTTAATTTTTTGTGGGTGATATGAAAAATGTACATACAGAACCAGCAGGCAGCGGTGGAAGTTTAAAGATTGATGGCGTTTGAGTTAAACGTGGATCAGTTGATCCTAAGAAAAAGAGAACATTTATAGAATACTAAGCACCATTTCCCTTCAATCACTTACCTATATGATGAAAAAATCGATATGCTCTTGGATTATAAACATTGCCCGATCGAAATGGCATAAATACAGCTGGCAAACACAGATCTATAATGCAAATTAATAAACTTTAAACAATCTGTTTTGTCCTTTTCTCTATCATTACCATCATAGCGCTCTTCTTCTTGTTCTGGACGCGACAGGCGATGTTGAATTTCTAACTGTCTTTCCGTTGTTCTTGCATTTTCTTGTTCAATTTTAGCCATTAATTGATGTCGACGTGTTAGACTACGCTCCAAAAACATTTGATAACGTTCGAGAAACTAAAAACCAAGTAAAAGAAAGAAGGAGTAGAGATATCTAAATGGTAAATATTAATTTTAAAAACAAGTTTGCCTAAATCGTATATCCAGCATTTTGATGACTGACTTCATGTGAAGATATCGTTAACTATATATAGTTATATATATATGGAACTATCTAACTATAATATCAGTCACATGATTTTTCAAAAAATTTAGATTCTTATGTACTAAACCAGCGCATACCAAACACATTATTCCCTAACTTTTCCTCTAAATTCATTTAAATATGCAGAATAAGCTCTTCTCTTATTTCACATTTTTGGCAAATGTACAAATGTTTGCTTGACAAATCACAGTTGCAAGATCATGTCGATGTGCATTATTACGTCATCAAAACTCTGTTCGATTGTGCTCAAAATTTTACCATAGATGTCTGAAACAATATCTCAGAATGCAAATTTTTTTGCGTAGATTTAGCCGAGTCAAGTTTTGAATCAGCACGTTTTTCAAGGCTTTCAATAAAATGATAATAACTCTAGCAAAAAACGGCGGAAAGAATTGTGAGACATCTCATTTTGCATAGTACTTGGTGCATGGTACTCTCTCAAAAATTTGAAGTTGGATAGACATGTTGAGGCTATTTTAGCTAGTTGTCGAAAAATGCTAAGTGCTATTAATTGTATCTTTCGTGACGCATCATTCTCATTAAAACGTCATCTTTACATGTGTCCTACCAGGTTTGAACTATTCGTTCGTTGTTTTCGATAGCTTTTACCACCTCGAACTATTTAACGTGATACAACACCTCTTTGTCTTTTTTACTAAGATTTTGTCTCCTATCCAAACATATTCGCTGAGGAAGCTAGATGTTAATCGTTATTTGACTGTAGAAAAATGTTTCGTTTACAACACTTATAGAAGATGCTAAATAAGCACTCTGTTCTTGATCGTTTCAATCTAACCACGACCTCAGGAAAACGGCATTTTACTTACACCATTAATAATTATGTTTTAGAAGTTCCTTATTCTCGCAAATCGTCCATTGCTGCCGCATACGAACAGTGAAGCAATGGAACAATTTGCCATCATACATTGTAAACAGTTTCACAATTCCACTGTTCACCTCAAACTTCTCAAGTTCTATTTCTAAACAATAAACTAAAAATGGTCATTTTTCGTTGTGATTTCTAACTATCTCCTTGTCTTTTGACTAAATAAATTTGATTTTAATAGAACTCTTTGTTTTATTAGACTAACTACTTGGAAAAATTAATAAAACACTTTACTATATTTCACGAATATCTGTCCCACGTTTCTTTGCAACAATAATCTGATGTTTTCTGACTGATTTCTGAATAGAAATCGCATTCATCCTTCAGAGCATGCATCAATCACAAGATTATGTTATTTTTTAACTAAATATGCTTACATCTTTGGGAAGATCTTTTCCATAGACTATTGCAGGAGCTGTATTTGCATCTGGTCGTTTCTGTTTCCATTTTCGTCTGAAATCCAAGAAATATATATTTTTTCTTTATTCCTATCAATAAGATACACGTACTTTTCTTGCACTTCCAACTTTTGATCATTGTTCATCGATAATAGTTCTCTTACATTTTCGTCCGATTCAGATAAATTAGCCATTTGATCTTTCGTTCGTAATTGCATATCATTCAATAATTTTGATAAACGACGAATTTCTGATCTATAAATAACAGTAAGTAATATTTTTAGTAAGTTTGAAGTACAGATAATTTTGACAAACATACTGATAGTTTTCATGTAACTTCGATATTTCTTGCTCATAATGCGATTTTACAATTTCCATATCATCGTCCGTTAATGCCGGTTGTTCTAGACGACTTTCGCTCGGTTCAGTTGCATGAGATATCATTTTTACTGGTGGCATGGATAACAACGATGGATTTGGAGTAGTGACAACAGGAGATAACGATTGCTCACGAGTATCCGGTTTTAGTTCAGTAAGATAAATAGTTTTGGGCGTTGGTGCACGAATTTCAAGTGGAGCGGTCACTAAAACAAGAACATTTTGTCATAACCATAATCATTTCTCTTCTATATAGCTTACTCGTTGATTTTGCTGCTTGATTAATTTCAATTTTATTATACCAAAATAACAATAATGGTAATTTACCAATTGTTTCACGTTTATCATTGTAAATTGGATATGTTTGTGGTGTACGTGATACGATAGATTGATAGAGATCAGTGGATGTAGAATCAAGATAAAGATTTTTTGTCGATAAATTCGTTGTAGTTTGAGCTACTGATGAACGCTTTTGTTGCTGAGAACTATCATCAATGATTGTTAATGGTATTTCAAGTGTTTGTCGAAGATTAGGAAGATCCTAAAAATATTGCAGATAGTGGAAAGAACTCAAAAATCAAAATCGAACAGTCTTTACAAGCATGAGTAAATCTTCTGTAGTTAATGTCATTGAACCAATTAACTTATCATCACCCATAACATCAACTCTAACTGCATCATTATCATTATCTGTTTGAAATACGGATCGTCGTTTGAAAACAGATGGCATTGGTATTAATAATTCATCACATTGACTCTTATCAATAATATTTAGTTCATCCTCCGGACTTGTAGAATCTGTACGTTTTTTAATTTCTTTAACAATAAAAATAAATGTCTTATTCTGTTTTCATTTCGTTTTTCTACTTACTCGCATCTGTTGGTTTAATGCGTCCACCTCCGGCAAATCTTGTACGTTTTGTATTTGATTCATCTTCTTTTCCCGTTGTGGTCAATGATTTATTCTACAAACTAAATTGGCTTATTTTTTAAAAGATTCAAAAATAGGCGACATATAAATTGTTGTTGTTTTTCGTATACCTCTAGTAAAAATGGGATTGTTTTATAATCATTTGAATGAGCATGTGCGATACATTGAAATTTTGTTTTTAATATTCCAGTTGGACGATAGATTCGAAATAATAAATATCTGCATTTTAAAAAAATAGTTATAATATATATTTGCAATGATTGAATTTATCCTTACTTTGATGAGAGTAAATCGCCGGTCCATGTTTGTTGGTCATCATGTTCCGGTGAAACTTGAATTTCGACTTCAGCTTTTGTCTGAATAAATCACAAAACCAAATTTATTTTATAGACGATATTACAAATCATGGATCTCTTTGTATTAAGATCTTTTGTATAAGTGTTCTGATCAGAATCACATGTCCAGCAGCTTTGTACGACTTCATCTTGTAGACTTATAAAATATTTCCCCCCCCCTAATAGAAGCCCCAGGGACTTCAAAACTGTCTAAGCGTTCAAAATTTTTAGGGAGACTTCTAATAGATCTCACTATAAGTTTCACGTACAAAACATTTTTCACATCGAACTCGCCAAGGGAGGCTTCTTTTACGAGGGGAGAAGGTTAGTTTTGCTAAAGACGCTGAACTACAATTAATGAACTGATAACGTCATTGCTTAGAATATGGTTTTGGTGCAGTAACATTATATCAACTCCTCGACGATTCATTTTAAAACCTTCATTTTTTTTATTTTAAAGCTAACGAGGGAACCTTTCCAGGTGTCCAACCGCTTTTCTAACGAAATGTGGTAGTTTATAGGTTGCTGATTCCGAATATGATAGCCGTTTTTGCCCATAGGCCTTTCCTAACGGGTTTCTGGAAAACTGGTTTTCCAGAAATCTAGAAAAATCCCCAAGAGTTTTTCTAAATAAGTCATGACTGTAACCCGCGAAATTCTAACTAAAATGAGACATCTCCCAGCCCTACACGACCTTTCTTTGCAAATTTATAGAATTTACAAAAGCCCTAAATGTTTATTGTCACCCGAGAGCTACAGAAAGAAGAAGGAAAGATGAATTTAGGGCTTTTCTTGTGAATTCTCTAACTTTGTAAAGAAAAGTCGTGTAGAGCTGGGAGATGTCTCATTTTAATCGGAATTTCGGGGGCTACAGTCGTGATTTATTTAGAAAAAGTTCTGAGGATTTTTCGAGGCTTCTGGAGGACTGGTTTTCCAGAAACCGATTAGGAAAGGCCTGTGGGCAAAAAGGCTATCATATTCGGAATCAGCATGGTCGATTACCTATCAACTACCGCATTTCGTTAGAAAAGCAGTAGGACACTTGGAAATGTTCCCTCGTAAGACATTCATCTAAAGTTTGACCTGCAGCGATTTTTGAGTTTTGTTTTCTGTGCAGATATAGTTAGCAAATACTCCGCCGAATTAGAGTTATTTCCAGAGGTCTGACTTAAAATACGTATAGGGAATGAACAGAAGCGAAATTCAAAAACCGCCGCGTATCAAATCTTAGATTCAGGTGTCTACTTTCATTCCAGGCCATTCACAGCTTGTTGCACCTTCCAACAAAAAAGCCTTTACGTTTTTGCTAAGAGCCCCATTTTGCCCCTTGTCACGCAATAACTCGGCAACGCTTCAACGTTTCGATCTCGCATTCTTAGCATAAGCTAGTAGGACAGTAAGCATTAGTCACTGAAACCGCCATCGAAATCGGATGTAAGATAAAAAACGTTTTTTCCCTGAGGGGACCCTTAAGCGAAAGGTCTTCGAGACGTCTTAGTCTCCCAGTAGAGTTGATCAGATATTTATGTTTCGACTTACAATGATGGGTGCTGCATTTTCTCGTCGATTTGTTGTTGAATCTACTGTGCTATGTACACGAGCACGTTGTTTTCCACTACTAAGAAAACTTCCACCAGCTTCACTTTCAGGATCATCACCAAACTCTGAACCCTATTGAATAACAAAACAACTATAAGTCCTGTATTTTTTAAAGACCAGTAAATTTGTTTACCAATGCTGTTCTGATTCGTTCTTCGTTTCCATCTACCATACCCTCACCGTCTTGCGGTATTGGTACAGTGGTAGTTTCTCCTCCAAATTCTTCATCTCGTTCAAGTACATCTTCATTCGGATAATCTGTTGACTGTGGTCGCACTTCTGAATTTAACCAACTGATCACATGTTCATAACCCAGCTGAGATGTCTAAAAATGAAACGCTTAGTAGAGAGAAAATTCTAGAGATAAACAAAACTTTTTACTAACCTCACGAAATGTTTTCAATCGAAACTTCCAATTTCGTACATTACATCTTGGCAAAGCTAATTTAATGTACATCTTTTCCCAATTATCAATACATCGCTTTTGTTCATTATGTATTATTTGATTTTCAACCGATGTTAATCGTTGAATAGCAATGTTTAATATACGCTTTTTTGTTTCATTAGTTTCATATAATTTTTTTAAGGCAGCACTTTTTTGATCCCATGGTTGACTGTACAACTGAACAAGACCTGATAAAATAGACAAATTTCAAAATAAATGACTATGTAATTAACTATTCTTACATTGACTGTTGCATAATGCTAAAAATATTTACTTACGAATGACTTCATGAACCGGAATTTGTGCTAATGAATAAGCTCGATATAATCGTGATATCACTAATGTAATACGTGCTGAAACATTGGGTGGTAAAAATTGTAATAATAAATTATCTTTTAATTCTAACAATTCCATCATTGAATTATCAATTTCAGAAAAACATGTTTGTAAACCATCACAAAGCATTTGAAATTTATTGGCATCCGCTTTTGTACTGGGAGCCAATTCTTCTAATTCATTTAGAAAACTATCATCACCTACACTCGGTGACGGATGAAAATCAACGCCCGATTTCTCTTCATCTTCACCAACCGTTGACAATGCTATACGACCTATAATGAAAGTAATTTTTATAACAGGTAAAACAAGACAAACTCTACTTACTTTCCATATTGTGTGATTGTTATATTAAACACTACAATTAGAGATATTCAATTTTTTGAAGTCTGAGTGAAATTAGTTACTGTTTGTTGTACATTGAACTAGCTCATCAGAAGTTTTAGCGGGTTGTGAATAAACAAAAAAAAAATTGCAAAAATCCTCGTGTTTCATTTTTATATTTAATTTACATTCTTTTTATTCATCAAAAAAGGAAAGAAGAAAAAATGAATGCCATTTCAAAACACATTCATCTTGGCTACGAACCTCTCGAAATCAACAATAGTAGTGCATAAAAAGTATATATAAAATACAAAATCATAATGTAAATCGATTGTATACGTACTTTCTAAACTGAAAATGTTGAAGATCTGTTTGCCTCTCTGTTAAGACGTAATAGAAATGATGGATCAATGTTACTCCATTTTCTCCTCTTTATTCTTTGTTAGTATGTATTGTATGAAGTAGTCATAAACATATCGTATTACGTTCTAAATGGTGTCATAGACTCCAATTTACATTCTCCTTTGAGCTTTTCAAACGTTTAAACATACTATCTAAATATGATACTGTGTCATCGTTTCATATAGAACCTTGGACAAAAGAAAACGGATAAAATGAGAAATGATCACGGAAATAGCATGCTTTTAATTCCGATTGAAAATTTTTTAAAAAGAAATATTCAAAAGATCTCGGTTACAAAAATACATTTCTTTTATGCCAAAATCATGGAGAAAAGCATGTAAGAGACATCGGTTCGTTTATATGATCGAAAAACATGGCTTAGATCTCGAAAATCGGATATATCGTACAAAGTAGTGATCTGCTTAGTCGAAGTGTAGACATAGCTTGAGCAGTTGTCACCATCAACAAATAATGGACTAGAAAGTCCAGTTTTTTATTAAATAGATGAACCTAAACATTTACTGGAAAACTAATATGAATTGGATGGAAGGTGAAGGTAGTGTCCGTGCTCATAAGTATTCCGAAATCTGAAGTATGTTTTTCCTAAACTAATTTAATTAGATTCTTTTCCTTGACCTAATTAATGATTTTTAGCATAGAAAAATTTATTTTTCGTCATCGAGATCTTTTACCTGTTTTTTCTTGAAATTTTATCAACCAGGATTGAAAGTATATGATTCCAATGATCTTTTCAATCCAGTTCCAAAGAAAACAGTCGCTGTTGATTAACTCATCTAATCCAGTTCTTCATCCGACTAACATAGATCAATCTAACAAAATTGAAACTAGATTCGCGCGTCTATAATTATGATATAACTAGTTTCTCTCCATAAAATATTTCGGTTTGGGCATGATGGTATAAGCTTCTGCATGTCTAACAGAATTTGATTAAAAAACAAGTCAATATTTAGAATATAACAATATCATTTCGAATAGACAGATATTTAATGGATATTATTTAGCGTTGAATACAAATGCTCATTTCACAATCTTTTCTTCAATATAGGAGTCTATCTTGTGCAGACCTGTTTATTTAAACAAATCCTTCGATTATTATATGGATCGTTTTATTTTATTTATATATTAACAAGATGATAATGTTTGAGTTACACTACCAGCAGAAACATCTCGGCTTTACATGAAACTGTTTATCAAAGACAAGAAGTAAACAACGAATCGAAACAAAAGACAAGAACAATATCAAACAACAACTAATACAATAATACGTGTTCTTATAATCCACTTTTAAATTTTAAAGAATTTCAGATTGAAAGATATATTTCGGCATTGCGGTTCTTCCGAGACTCACACTTGCATCGATGAAGTTATTGATTGACGTGATACGAATCTTGTGAGTATAAATATATATAAATGTCAATAGTTATTATTTCCTACTATGTCCAATATAAATCCGCCAATGACATTATTTATCAATAATAATTTGATTGAACGAGCTGATTATATAAAACTACTTGGTACAAAAATTAACACATAATCTAACATGGAATATCATGCTGATCATGATGCGTCTAATTCTTGTAAAATGCTAGGATCGATTTCTCGTGTGTTTCGCGATGCTCCAAGTTCTCTTCGTCTACATTTGTATAAAACTTGTGTTCATCCTACTACTGCGTATAGTTCTATTATTTACGATACATCTTACATAACTCATCCAGCAGTCTTTGATAAAATTCAACACTTGGCCAGCAGGATAATTCTAAAAGACTATAATACATCTTCCAATCTACTTTTTACTAATGAGAGAACCTTTCCAAATGCCCCCTCATTTTTTTAACGAAATGTAGTAGGTTACAGTAACCGGCCATGCTGATTTCGGTATGATAGCCTTTTTTCCCCAATAGACGTTTTCTAACCGGTTTCTGGAAAACTGGATTTCTAGGAACCTCGAAAAATCCTCAAAACTTTTTCTAACTAAGCAACAGTTGAAGCCCATGGAATTCTGATCAAAATGAGATATCTTCCAGCTCTACACGACCTTTCTTTGCAAAGTTTTAGAGTTTACAAGGAAAGCCCTAAATTCCTTTTTCCTTTTTCTTTCTGTAGCTCTCTGAGGTGACAATGAACATTTAAGGCTTTTCTTGTAAACTCTATAAATTTGCAAAGAAAGGTCGTGTAGGGCTGGGAGATGTCTTATTTTTATCAGAATTTCACGAGCTACTATTGTGACTTATTTAGAAAAAGTTTTGGGGATTTTTTCTAGATTTCTGGAAAACCAGTTTGTCAGAAACCGGCTAGAAAAGGTCTATGGGGAAAACGGCGGCTATCATATTCGGAACCAGCATGGTCGATTACGTATAACCCACCACATTTCGTTAAAAAAGCGAGAGGGCATTTGGAAAGGTCCGCTCGTAAGTCAAAATTAACACATTATGATAGATGAGAAAACATTTTCGTCTATCATATTTTTACAAATAAAACTATATAATGACAAGAGTCCACTTTCTCCACTCAAACTGATTTTTCCACGTACTACTCGTCAGTCAAAAAGAAAAACTCCCCATAAGCGTATAGAAAAAGAATGTATTCTTTAAAATCAACGTCACGTCCTTTCATTCCTCAAACTACTGACGACTGGAATTGTTTACCAGCTGCAGTTGTGCATCAGTCAGACTTAAATGCTTTTAAACCAGTGTTAAAAACGCTTCTGTATAAAAGATAAAAAAAGGAAATTTTTATATTATAATTATCATCATTATGTATTTGTTCTTTGTACAAAAACAACGTACGATAGAAAATACAACCACCTCCTCAAAGATCGACCTAACACAAACTTTAAAATGAGGGTAACGAAGGGAAGATAGGACTCTATCAATAACACGAGCAACTGAGTTTTGTTTTTTTCTACCTTTTGAAACCGAATGATCAAATTTTATCTATGAAATTTTTTTATAAATATCGTTAATGACTAATATACATCAATTGTCACATCAAAATACATAGGAAGGCAAATAGTATTTCATGCTACTTGCCTATACTACTCTATATGAAATACATATGATATGATTCAGCTGTTTTTTGCAAAAGTTTTCCCATTTAATTCTCTACAAAATGGTATATAGGAGATGATCCTGAGAATTGAGATGCCGTCGTAATTGAGCCGAAATCGAAATGTCCCAAAACTTTCAATGTTCCAAGAAACGAAAAACCGCGTTTTCTTTATATGCGTTGTTTATATATCTTCCTTACTAATAGAGCTAGAGATATAAAAATCTACATGAATAATCATCTAGTTGTGAGAGATTAATAAAATGTTGTAAGAGATTTGTAAGGTTAAATGTTTGAGCTTTTTTGGATTGACATTAAGAAAGAAAAGCATTTTTTTTCCAGAGGGCCCGAAACTTATTGATCACCCTTTGGTTGTGACCTTTCGATTGTTTTGAGGGAAGTGACATCAGACATTTCGTATGTGAATCAAATAGACAAAACATTTCTCTTCCAAATGACACAAGAATGAGTCTGATTCATTCATTTGTGAGTGAGCACCGTTCATTTTACAAACAGCTTCAAAATGCAGATCGAAAATATTCACAAGGCTTTTGCAAAAAGCATTATTGAAAACACGGAAATAACGGCAGAAAATTAGCATTATAGCCATTCGATAGAGAATTCCAAGGGCTACATTTCTACCTATTCGATGTGGGCACAACGCATACATTCAAGCTTATACTGATGAAATACATTCTCCGTTTTGGGAGCATTGAAAGTTTTGGGACATTTCGATTCAATTACGACGGCATCTCAACTCTCAGGATCATCTCCTATATACCATTTTGTAGAGAATTAAATGGGGAAACTTTTGCAAAAAACAGCTGAATCTTATTATATGTATTTCATGTAGATAATGTCAATTTACAGAGAGTGTCCAAAACTTATGGATCATCCTTTAATATTGCTAGAATTTTGTAGTGAACGAATCTCAATAACTTCCGAAATACGCATATCAAATGCATATTTAAATAGATGACGTAATTTAAATAAAATAATAACATATGCTTGGAGAAAGTAAGATTAGAGCTTTTTTGGGGGACTATTTTTCTTCTGATGTATTTTTGAGCCAAAAAAAACTATCTACTTCTACATACAACTAGCGATATGCATACGTCATAGTGTAAACCGTGAGATATAAACTTTTGTGCTCTTGTTTCTTCTTTAATTATATGACTTTTTATTAAAACTTTAACAAGAAATTCAGAAAATGATATTTCATCGTTTCATCGAATGCCGTCGATCTAAATAGCACTGCTAATAATAATTGAAAATATATTGAATTTGTGAACTTGTTCTTATAGATTTTGCATCGATATACTGATAGTTGTTAAGATTTTCCATCACGACTTGTACGGCGACTAGTTTTTCCTGATCCAACATCATATAGTTCTATATTGGCTGGACTCGATCTTCGAGACTCTTGTCTCTTCGACTTCTCATATGCTAAGCTAAAATTAAAAACAACTAAATTTTATCAAAAGGAGAAAAAGTTTTGAAAAATACATTTGAATTTTTCTGTACCCTTTGGTAAAGGTAGCTGTCTCAAATAACATACTTTTTCTTACCTATTTCTCTCTAATTTTCAGAAGAATCATTAGCAATCTTAATCCTTTACGATGTATCACGTTTTATTACTTACTTCATTTGTTCTTTAATAAATTGTGTTAATTTTGGATTTTCTGCTAGTTCATGGCTGGTAGCTAAACATTCTCGTTGTTGATTGTAATCTAATTTATTCCATCTTATTCTCCGAAATAAATGCATAATAACTTGTGAATTTTCAACGTGATTTGATGTGATCCAATTTAATACACGACCTAATACTAATGTTTCATCGCGATCTTTAATTGTTTCATCCGCTAATATACTAAGATGGAAAAATAACTTAAAATTTATTTGATCACGTTCTCTCTTCTTACTTTCCAATTGTCACATAGGGTAATTCCAAAAAAGTTTTCATATTAATACAATCGTTAAATCTTGTTGATAAAAAGTAATGTGCTTCATAAAATGCTTTTTTCATACCATATCGACGTGATAATTCCAAAACACGAAATACACGACGTTTTTCAAATGTTGATAAAAATTCTTCACATATTTCAAATATTTTTTTTACATCCAATTCTTTTGCACAATTCAATACATCATTCACATTTTTGAGTGTTAACGTCAACTCACCAGTATAAAGAAAGCCCAAAACTAATTGTAAACCTTTATGCGATGTATGACGCAAATGTGTTCGGGTAACAAAATCAGTACGACGTTCGCGAAAAAATGCTCTAGAAAAAAAAAGAACACTTAAGTATAGCAGATAATTCAGTGATTCGAAGATCTCTAATTGTGTGTAGTTGCTGTAACCTGACGTTTTCCTACAAAAAAAAGATTCGATGCAGCATCATAAAAAAAAAGGATCGACATCGGCGATGTGCACCGGTGCTCGGACGATGCCAAACAATGCCAAATTTGCATCGATGTCGTACAATGGCGATTTTTCATGTGAGAACCGATACCGCATTGCTAAAATTGTTTTTTTTTTCAGTATCATCTCTGTAAAAACAAATTCGATGCGGTATTGCAAAGAAAAGGATCGGTATCGGCAACATACCATAGTCATACGGCATTGCCTCGGCACTTTTCTTATGAGAAAAGATGTGAGCCGAAAAAATCTAAAAATTCTGCAGTCGTGCGCATCGATGCTCAAAAGAAAACTTATTCGGCATGAATGCCCACTCGCGCACAACCGATGCCGACAAAAATTTTTTTTGTAGGGTTGTTATATAGAGTGTTATTTCAAATCTGGCTTTTGAACTACTAAAAATGATATCATACAAATGCATGAAAAACAAACCGGTTTCGATCGAAATCTAACTGATGTACGAAATTTAATTGAAAATAGTCGTTAGCGGATATTAGCTGAATGTTAATGAATCTACGCATACTTTTACCTAAATTTCGGAGAGAATGCTGCTAACACAAGTCGGTGTGCTAAGTATTCACTACCATCAACAACAAGCATTAAATCACAAAATCTTGATTCTTTCCACATTTGTGCCAAAACCTTTCTCGCTTCAGTTTCATTATCAGCGTTAACAAATCGATAAATAATTTCTTTTTCATGTACATCATGTCCTTTTTGAATATCATTATTAAATTTACTATGATTAATGATCAATTCGTTTAATTTCAATGATGTCGGTGCCACGGGCGTCACATTTGTTTGACGTCGTTGGGAAGATGGACGCTCTGATGCCGATTCATTTGTATTTGTATGATGTTGGGCATGTAAATCCAGAATGCTTAATCGTACACAAAACGGACGAACTAACATCAAATTTGAATTTGGACAGGATGAACTCATTTTCTCCCTTTCTCTACTCTAACTCATCTTAGTTGTTGCTGTTGTTGACAAATCTTCCTACATATTTGCTTTTTACACCACAGTAAAAAGACGACAACAGCCAAAAAAACTTTTGAGTCGAAGAAAAACTATTATAATAGATAAAAAAGTATTCAAGAAGAAAAGAAGATCAAATAGGTTAAAATTTATAAAGGCGCCTTTTGAGTAAGGCGTTTTTTTCATAAGAAATTCGATATTTCCAGCGCCGTGCAGGAAAAGTAATAGACAATGATTCACTCCAAAATCTACATAATTTCGAGACTGAGAACTCTAATTCAAACATAATGCCATATATTGAAGTCGTCATAGAGACATTAGGCTAGAGAGAGGAGAAATGAGAGAATTCAGTAATGAGTTTTAGTCACACATGTAATACAACTTCTAAAATGAATTTGGTCTCTCTTTTAAAAGATCACAAGAAGCAGGCTTATTGGAATAAGTAACTCAACGTACATATTACAGTGGAACTGGCAATATATCATATTTTTATAGAACAATACACGGAGCTGTTTTTCTCTATTGCGTGATGGGACGAATATCTGCAAATCATTAGAGAGCTTACTTCATTTTGTTCTCAGGAAATTAAGTACTTTGTCACAAACCGGTTATTATTTAAATTTTGAGTCTTTATGTCGAAGGGTGCTCTAGCATGCAAACTAATTAAGTTGAAGAAGAAGTCAGCTCACACGCATTTTTCTCTTTCATCATGCTCCAGATCATTGTGGTCGATAAGCACATCGTAATAATTTTTAAGTCACCGTTTGTTTCTCACTCTTGTTCCATATAGAATGTTTCCATATTCAGAATAAATCTGAAATTTTTCTTGGCCATGCCTGTTCGTGGTAGATCCTGTACGATCGTTTGTCTAATGGCTATGGTTGTCGCATAAGAAAAGAAAATATAAAAAATGTTCACCCAAGATACTTATATACTATGACTAACTCTTTGAAATTTTTTATCACAAAATCGTTAAGTTGAAGAATTGAATAATTCAAGATTCTGATTTCGAAATGTGTTTTTCAAGTTTTTCCACTCAGGACTATTTGTTATCCTTTCACTCCTTTCTTCTCATCTTTCAGTTAGAGAAAACAAACTTTGTGGCCTATAGACTTGACAGAATAACGACACCAACTTAATCTTCTTTGCATGTCTTGACCGAGCTATTTGTTTCATTATGATAGAGTCTTATAAGACCAAGATACGACATCATAAATAGTGTAAGTCAGCACCAGGATTGCCAAATGTCTTCCTACGCAAGGGACAGTCTCTCACTTGAAGATTTGTTCCTCGTAAAAATTCGTATCTCTGAGTCATTCCCTTACTTGAAAAATTTCCCTTAAATGACGATATTAGTGATGTCTTTCAGTTTAAATCAATCTGTCCCACATAGGACTTGTTACCGTTGATAACACTGGTCAGTACAAATAAGAAATTGTCGTGTTTCTTTCGATTTGAGCAGTCCGCTAGTGAATGCACTTGTATACAAGTACTTGCCCAAGTATCCTCGCAAGTTTTGTCCAACGTTCCTGGCTTTTTTCGCAAGTAAATCAAGTACTTGATCTGCTTGTCAAACACTTGACTAAGTGCTTGCCCAAGTAACTCGCAAGTACCTGAGGAAAGCTTGACATAAAAAATAAAATTCTACAAGTACTTGGGAAGTACATGACAAATAATATGTGTGTGTTGATAGAATAATGTTTATTCTGTTGTTTTATTTATATTTTAACACAGCGAGTGCGTAAGAAACAATTGTGAGGAATGTGCTCATAAAATGTTACTAATATAATCGTAGCTGTGTAAGGAGTGTGGTCGTTCGTGTTATTTCCATTTGCTCAACTATTATCAGATGAACTCGACCAAATCTGAATAGTACTCTCCAAAAACAAGGTTTACTATATAACCTAAAAGAGGGACAAATACACTTATTACACCCCCCTCATATATCGACTATTTCAGTTTAAAAAGAGACAGTCCCGCGAATTTCTTGTAGTACACATTAGGGTATGTTTGGCAGTAGGTGGTGGGCGGTAGCGGTGTGGGCAGTGTGAGAGTGAGTTCGAAAAGTACTTTCACGCACGATATATTTTT